TTCCTTTTTTTTTTTTTAATGTTTATTTATTTATTTTGAGGAAGAGAGAGAGGCAGTGTGAGCAGGGAAGAGGCAGAGAGAGAAAGGGAGAGAGTCCCAAGTAGGCTCTGCATTGTCAGTGCGGAACCCAACATAGGGCTTGATCTCATGAACCATGAGATCATGACCTGAGCTGAAATGAAGAGCTGTCCACTTAACCAACTGGTGCACCAATTCTTATTTTTAACCAGTGAGCCTAGTTCTGGTCCTCTGACTTCCATGTGATACTTTTGCTTTTCAATACTCCCCAGAAACTGAACACCAAATCACCTCTTGCTACTTCATACCTGAAGTCGAGTAGGCCCATGTTTTTAATCACTGGTCATCAGTTTGCATTTCTATTATATAAATCAGTTTATTTTGTCTTTTATATTGATTTCATTTAGAAATTTTGTTATGTTTTATCTGTAACTGATTTTATGTTTATGTTTAGATTTTATGTTTATGTTTATTATAGTAGCCTGGTAAGCTCAAAACATAGAACTTATATTACAATTATAACTTAGAACTAAGGTGTGATTCCTTTAGGATTTACCTAAAAATCAAACAGCAAATATTTATAGATCATCCACCACTCTAAGAATAATTCTTTTCAAAGTCCCATGAGACTTATAAAACAGATGTAAGGTTTGATTAATGTTTCCATCAAGCTGATAATCTAAATGAAAATACAAATTAAAGAAACTACTGAATAGTTAAGAACTATAATTAAGAAGCAGATGGAGACGCTAAAGCAGATCACAAATAACCTCCTCATTAAAAAATACAACGGCTTGTTGTTGTTTAAGATTTTATTTTTAAGTAATCTCTATACCCAATGTGGAGCTTGAACTCACAACCCCAAGATCAAGATCAGTTGCATGGTCTACCAACTGAGCCAGCCAGACATCCCTGTTTCACTTTTTCTTAATACTTCTATGTAGCATCAGTTATTAATGACTATCTCACATTTTACAAAACTTTTATCTCCCCTGGCTTCTAGAACACTGTATAGTCATGATTATTCTCCTAATAAGGCATTACATTCTCACTTTCATTACTTTCTTCTTGACTTCCTACTCCTGTTCTTCTACCCTTTGCACCCCCACTACCCTCTATACAAGAGTTCTTAAAGTCACTCCTTAATTCTTTCTTTATACTCTCAACTATCATTAAGACTTAGAAGTCATCTAGTCTTATTCTTTACCTAACAAATTAATTTGCTTTCAACCTAGTTATTGTATGAATATAATTAGACAGTGGTATTGATGATAAAATACAAGCTTGCTCCTTCCCACTTCTAGCTATTCTTTTTTTTTTTTTAATTTTTTTAACGTTTATTTATTATTGACAGAGCATGAACAGGGGAGGGTCACAGAGAGAGGGAGACACAGAATCGGAAACAGGCTCTAGGCTCTGAGCTGTCAGCACAGAGCTCGACGTGGGGCTTGAAGTCACAAACCACAAGATCATGCCGAGTCGAAGTCAGACGCTTAACCGAATGAGCCACCCAGGCACCCCCTCTTCCAGCTATTCTGGCCACCTGTCCTAGTTTTGTCCTTTGGTGCTATAAAGAATAAGGCTACCATTCCAGAAGTTCTTGTCAGTTCAATAAGATGCTGTGCCAGAAGCAACACACACACAAAAAAACACTGTAAATATTGGGAACAAGGAGACAAAAGACTATCCAGAAAATCCAAGAGAATCAAAGGGTTCAGTAACTAAGTTAGGTAAGATCATACAAAAATCAAATGTTTTCTTATATACCATCAATAACC